TATTTTTTAAATAGATATGCGTGTTTGATGTAGTTTGTAACACTGTTTTTGTTTTAACCATTGTAGGTTTGTAGTTTAAATAAATAAGCATTAATGGCAATTTTTTTCTATTTAAAATGCTTTTTTTTAATTAATTACTTTATTTTAAAATTTGATTAGCTGAGTTTTACTGTTGTTTTGCTGTTGTTTTTAGGGGTGTACAGTTGGGCCTAACCTTATTATGAATCAGTATAATCATAAAAAAATTAATTGTTATTATTAATAATAGTAATAATAAAGATAAATAGTAATTATAATTTTATATTTGTTATCATTAGAATTATTCATTTAAAATGTTGTTTATTTTTCATAAAAATATCTGTATAGTTTGTATACAGATGAAAAATACTTTTTTACTATGTAGATGCTAAAGCTTTGTGGTAGGTTTTACGTTTAAAATGTGCTTTCTTATTTATTACATTATTTTTACATAGTATAATCATAAAGAAAATAAAAATAATAAAAAAATAAGAATAACACTAAAATATAATAATAATATACTAATATTAATAACAATAATAGCAATTTATTATTCAATTATTCAATATTATTCAAGTATTGGCTTGGTCAGTCTGCATTTTGCATCTTCTCCTCATGTTCGTTTGAGGTTTTTTCCGGATGCTCAGGTTTCCCCCACATTTCCAAAAACTTGTGGTATAGATGAATAGGGTAAGCTAAATTGTCCAAAGTGTGTGTATGTGTGAATGGGTGTACGTGGATGTTTCCCAGTGATGGGTTGCAGCTGGAAGGGCATTTTATTGTTATAAAAAACAATAATACTAATAAAATAAATAATTAAGCAATTCGCATAAATCCAGAATACACTTTTCAAAAAAAAAAAAAAGACACCAAATATCTAACCTCTAAAACCCACCCCACCCCTGGGACTAAAGCTTATGCAGTACTGTTGGTGTGACCTTCACCATCTGGGTTTTTAACCTACGCTTTGAAGATAGAGGAGAAGAGGAGACCAAAGCTCGTCAAATTTTTTTTCAATTTCTTTGCCATAAGAAATCCGATCCTTTCCAAATGTGCTAATTTAGTTAATTCTTCCAGCCCAGATCTAAATGATGGGGATTCTGTTGATTTACAAAACCTTAGCACCAGCTTCTTTGCCACAATAAGGCTGTAAGACAACAGTTGTTTTTGAGAATATGATCAAAAGTGGGTTGAAAACTAATTCACAATGTAAAATTTTAGAGAGAGTTTTAAATATTTCAGCCCAAAGTGGGTTCCATTTAGAACACAGAGCATAACTATGTTAGGGAGTGGCTAAGTCCATCTTGCATTTATCACAGAAGGTAGAGGTATCAGGAAAAAGTTTATGTAATCTTGTCTTGGTATAATGAAGCCGGTGTATAATTTTGAACTGAATGAGACTGTGTCTGGAGTTGACAGAACAAGAGTGGATTTCCTCTAACGCATCAGCCCACAGCTCCAGACTTATATCATCTCCCAGATCCTGCTCCCATTAGCCGCGTTTCCACTATCGCGCCTAAAGAGAGCGAGCCAGGGCGAGCCAAGGCCAGTGGCGTTTCCACTGTCACTTCCGGGGCCTAATCGGGCCAAAGCGGGGCTTTCTTGGGGCCAGCGGCCGGCCTTTTTCGGCCCGCCGAATACCTTGGGCCAAAGAGGGCCAGCATGGGCTTCGAGGCGGAGTGAAAGGAGAGGCGGGCACAGTTTTCCGATCGCACACAAGTACATGCGCCAAACACATAACAAATAAATAAATAAGAGAAAGAAAACATCTGGAACAAATTATTGGCTGGGGTCTTTTTTGCATATGATCGCCCTTATGTTTCTCTTTTAAATGTAAGGTTGTTGCATAAAATGATAGTTTTAATAAGTGAGTTTTCTTTGCTGCATCTCTTTGATGTTTCAATAACGCATACAAATCTTTACACCATATTAAAGACACAGCAGACAGTAAAGGATTTCAAGAGGTTTTGTCAAGTTTAATAAGTGTGTTTTTGCGCGTTTAGATGCCTGTGTATGTGCGTGAGACCGAGGAAAAGAGCGCTCCATTCATAGCTCTGTTGATGCCGCGAGCAGCTTTTTTCTTTTCTTTTTATTGTTTTAATTTATTTTGGAGATAATACACTATATGAATACAACAGAAAGACATTAAACTTTACAATTTTCATGTCCGCTTTTGTAGGCTCAAAACAATAGTGTTATATCTAGATAAAATAGCCTAAGCTATATTTAGATAATTTAAAGAAATACAAATATCAGATAGGCCTATTCTAAAATGACATTAAATAAATTAACCAATATAAAACTAACAAAAGCTATAGCTATAACAATTAGGTACTATATCAAACTGTTTCAAATTTATATTAAACTTAAATTTTTTTAAAAGCCTCTTTGAAAAAAAGATTTTAGATATTTTCTAAAAAATAAATAAATAAATAAACACCGGAAAATGTTTTAAATATTATTCATTAGTATTTGGATACGATGATATTAATCAAATCATGCAAACAGAGCATTTTCGGGGTGAGTGAACGCAGAAACTAGGCGACCTTTTTTTCTGTCTGCAGCTGCGCAGCACTTTTTTGACGGGGAAAACTGCAAGTTCAAAATGTGTTCTGTGTCCTCAAACAAGTGTGTATGTTTTTATATAACGTGGTAAAATTAAAAAAGGAAATTTTAAATACATAAAGAGCTTTATTAGTGCATTGCTGCTGAGCGCAACGAAATATAGGCTTTGTTTTATTACTTGCTGCTCTTATGTGCTGAAACACTGAACACTTTTCCTTTTTATAATAAGCAACATCTTTAAATAGGGAATCACCTATTAAGTGTCGTAAAGCCTATAGGGAAATATAATCATGTTTCAGTTCTCTCCGGAGCATTTGGGATGAATGTTGGACAGCGTCTGTCTAGAGGATGTTATAAAATACATTTTATATCGAGTTATTAACGGAGAATTTTATATATGTGGTGTTATATTATGGATGTGTGCGCTCCCTGTGCTAGGTCCCTCCGTTGGTGGCAAGACCACTGTATTTCGATGCCAGTCGGTCGGCGAGTAAATGAATATGATAAATGAAAACACACAGGCATGTGCGCATAGACATGCGTTGTACTACTGTACAGTAACGTGTCATTTGTTTGTTTTGGTTGTCCTATTTTAATAGTTTCGTGATGGTGTGCTTTATCTGCATGATTCTCGCTGAAGTGGGCGGTTTGAGTGACGTTCGATTCGGGGGATGTTCTGGGGGCGGGGTTTGCTGACGCGATGCAAGCTACTAGCCCCACAGTGGAAACGCGACATGATTTCGGCCTCACTGCTCAACCTACCAGGCGATTGGCCCGGCCTGGCCTGATATAAGCCCTGGCTCGCACTGGCCTGATAGTGGAAATGCGGCTATTGTGATTTTAGGCTCTCCATAAGAGGCTATTTTTTTGATAACAGTGAGTTATAAATGACTAAAATCGCATGGCAGAACTCGTCTCCAAGCCCTAATGGGACATCCAGTCCAGCCGGATCTGCAAATATCTGAAGAAATTGTTTGCACGCAGACCAGATTGATCCTGTAAACTGGATAAGTTGGCGGTTCATTCCGTTGTAGCGACCCCGGATTAATAAAGGGACTAAGCCGAGAAGAAAATGAATGAATGAATCGTATTGATAATAATAATAATAAAAATAATACAATAAAAATATCTTTATAATTATTATTAAATTAAAAGGTAAATAGTAATTATAGTTTGATATTCTTATCATTATCATTATTCATTTAATATGTGTCTCATGAACTAAATAGTTTGTACAATATCTATATAGTTTGTATATAGATGCAAAAACCATTTGTTAGGTAGATACTAAAACTTTGTTTTTGTTTATAAATAATCAGCAAAAATTGGCATAAATAATGAAAAAAGACTCAAAATTCTCTATATTTTTATGTGTTTTTTATTTTTTAATTACAATTTTTTAAGAACCCTATTTTAATATTGCGCTTTTAGGGTTACAATTTAACCAGACGTTTCTATGTAAATTAATATAATAAAAAATGTTATTATCAGTAGTAATAATAAATGAAATTATATATATTGTTGTTGTTGTTTGTGCTGCTTTTGTTATTGTTGTGGCTGTTGGTGGTAGTAGTAATAGTAGTAGTAGTATAAAATAAAGTAATTATTGTTGAATAATAAATAATAAAGAAATGAAATATATTTTATTTAATTACATTATTGTTACAAAATAAAAATATCAACCAAAAATAAGTATTATTACTTCCGGGATTTTGTTTAATTGTAAAACAACAATAATAGTCATTTTACATTACAGTCATGAAGTTAGATACATGTCTGAATTTAATATTGCATTAAGACCTTACAATTTTGATTATTCATACTTGCCTGACTTGCATGTTCTCCCCATGTTTGTGTGGGTTTTCTCTGGGTGCTCCGGTTTCCCCCACAGTCCAAACACATGCGCTATAGGAGAATTGGGTAAACTAATTTGTCCGTAGTTTATGTGTGTGAATGGAATATATGGGTGTTTTCAAGTTATGGGTTGCAGCTGGAAGGGCATCCGCTGCCTAAAATATACAGTATGCTGGATAGGTTGGCGGTTCATTCCGCTGTGGCGACCCCAGATGATTAAAGGGACTAAGCCTGAAAAAAAAATTGAATGAATGAATGAATGAATAATCACCCGACATTTACTTTGAGTTATCTTAGCATACGGTAGCATGAAGGTTAGATGCTCAAAATATAATATATTAACACTTGTCTTGAATGTACAGTTTCAAAAACAATCAGTATAATCCTATACGTGTATGAGACTGAAAATCGCCTAATGATATTGCCACGTAAATACTGACTGACTTTATAATCAATTGAGTTCAGAAAAAAGAGGCATACAAACAAATTCTGCCTTTGTTATTTGTAAAATATGGCTCATTTAAATAGTAAATACCAATCTGCTTCTGGTTTCTCTTTTTCAGCCAAACCCCTCCAATAAACTGGCCATCATTCACATCCTCGGCCTGCTGTCCAATTTGTTCACCACACTGGACATCACCAAACAGGAGGACGAGTCAGGAGAGAACGCCCCGCCTATCAAATCAGCCCCGCCCCCCACAGGCCCAAACCCGGTAAGCACCTCCTATTTGCCGCTGAGGAGCCCAGTGCTGTAATCGAAATCGCAGCCTCATTGGTGGAAAGAGTACTGAAAACCATTCTCATAGAAAACCCCCATTATTTGACAATAATGTAGTCCAAGTTAGGGGTGGGCGATATGGCAAAAAATATAACATCATGATTTTTTTTTCAGGAAAATACAATTCTTTCATATGTTTTGTCAGGAGTGTAGTAAAATTATACAGATTAAGGACATCAGCAGAGTGAGCAAATAGTTGCTGCGTCCCAAATGGCACACTATGCACTTTGTACTTAGGGATGTCGCGATACCATTAATTAATCTTACGATACCATACCAGCTGAAGTATCACGATACCAAGTAGTATTGAAATACTGTAATTCAAAACTCATAATATAAAAAGAAATGTCAGACATACTATATTTTACACGTTATAATAGGTCTTGAATTTAATTTATAATTCCCTTATTATTGAAACAGTATTATTTGCACCTCACTTCACGTAAAATTCATTCTTTTTTTAATTTTGTAGATAACTGACCAACAAAAAGTACATTCAAATAAAGATGCTTTATATTAACCAGTTTAACTCTGCTGCTATTTTGGGATTGCCGCCTGGATTTTGCCTACCCAAATTTAAAAGCTTCCCAATTCCACATGCAGAGATGTAAATGCAAAAATTTGGTATAATTTAAAAGAAAACCCTCTGAATTTTCATAAAACACTATAACTGTATATGTTGTCTGTGTTATAATTAACTCCTAATAAAAGAGGCGCTTTTTGTGTGTGTGTGTGTGTATATATATATATATATATATATATATATATATATATATACACACACACACACACACACACACACACACACACACACACACACACACACGCACACACACACACACACACACACACACACACACACACTGCTGGTGCACAATATAAGCATAAACATTTACAAAGTCAGCAG